CGATGGCGCATTGCGAGAGGCCTTGCTTGTGCAGCTCAACAATCCTGCCACGTTCAACGAGAGAAAGCCTTTTTGCCTTTGCCATCAGGAGATCATGACAGTGTGACTGCCTGAAGATCAATGACGTGAAAGCCATATTTTTGTGCAGATTTTACCTCTTTAAGCCTATAGTCTTAAACTTTTGATCAGCTGATGAACAGCCTGTTTGAGTTTAAATGCAGTTTTCAATAAATTGCCTACTCTCTATTTTTTGTCTCTTGCTCCTGTTTCTTCTTTTGGCATTTTGAAGCAGAACTTACAACCCGCGCGAAATGCGAGTACTTGCAATGTTTCCCCTGGTCTTAAGATTTTGTTCAAGAGTGTATATGGTTGAAAATTAACAATAAGATGATTTGTGCTGAGCATCATGTCTACATGTGGGCCATCCATATACCTCCATCAGAATCCCCTACTACGACCCAGATATTTTCTCTATTCTTGAGGAGGAAATTAACCATTATAAAACCATGGGAAATGTATTACTCAGTGGGGACTTGAACGCTTGAACAGGGGAAAGAGCTGACATTTTGAACACCCAGGGAGACAAACACCTACCTGGAAGCACCTGCTTCCCCCTCCCTGAATGTCCTGCTAGAAAGAGCTTTGACAAGCTTATTAATACAAGCGGTATGCAGCTTTTTCAGCTCTGCCGTACGCTGGTTCTGTACATAGTCAACGGCAGGCTACGAGGGGACTCTCTGGGTCGCTACGCTTACAGCTCATCTCTTGGCAGTAGTACGGTAGATTATTTCATTGCAGATCTAGATCCAATGTCTCTCAGAGCTTTCACAGTCAGCCCCCTCACACCCCTCTCAGACCACAGCAAAATCACTATCTATCTGAAAAGGGCTCAGTCTAAGTCTTGAGCCCCTAGTGCCTGTGAACTGTTTAACAGCTCATCCTCATACAGATGGACCCCAGACAGCATGGGGGCGTACCAGAAGGCACTGGAAAATCAAAACATACATGATTTAACTCATTTATTTCTAACTGAAACATTTCACCAAAATTATTCTGGTGTAAATTCTGCTGTGGACAAAATCAATTAAATTTTTCATCATTTGGCTCTATTGTCTAATTTGAAAGCCTCCAAACCAAAACCTCAACAAAGGACCAATAACAAATGGTTTGACACTGAATGCAAAAACCTGAGGAAAACTTTAAGGAAATTATCAAATGAAAAGCATAGGGACCCAGATGACCACAACATACGCTGTCAATATGAGGCCACTCTGAAACAATACAAGTACACCCTAAAAACAAAGAAAGAACAATACAGCAAGAAGCAGCTCTGTGAATTTGAATTTGAGTCCAACCAGTTCTGGGAGAAATGGAACAACCTAAACAAAACCACAAAACTTGGCGATCCAAGATGGAAATACTTGGATTAATCACTTTAGTGAATTATACAGTAATATTATAAAAAATTATGATCAGTACAAGATATTCACAAAATGGAAAACTCTGGAGGTGGTGATAAAAAACAACCAAAACCCTCTAGATTACCCGGAACAGAACAATAATTAACAGAAGTCATCCAGTCCCTGAAAGGAAAAAAGGCTTGTGGTATTGATGGAATCCTCAACGAAATGATCAAATACTCAGACCATAAAATCAGATTTAACTATTCAACACTGTTCTATCAACTGGAACTTTTCCAGACATCTGGAACAAAGGTTTAATAACCCCAATTCATAAATCCGGAGATAAATATGATCCAAATAACTACAGAGGAATATGTGTATCCAGTAACCTGGGAAAAATATTCTGCAACATCATTAAACGACTTGTCAGCTTTCTTGATGACCACAATATTCTGCATAAATGGCAAATAGTTTTTTTGCCAAATTGCGGACTATATATTTACCCTCCAGACTCTAATAGATCAAGAATTAAACATTAAGATAAGAAAAGAAAGGTATATGCCCATTTTGTTGACTTCCAAAAAGCCTTTGATTCCATCTGGCATGAGGGCCTTTTCTATAGGCTACTTGAAAGTGGCATTGGAGGAAAAACACATAATTTGATTAAGAATATGTATACAAAAAGTGAATGTGCCATAAAGATTGGAAACAAACAAACAAACAGCATGCTTCTCCCAGGGCCGGGGAGTGAGGCAGGGATGCAATCTCAGTCCAATTCTCTTCAACCTATATATCAATGAATTAGCAAACCAATTAGAGAGTTCCACAGCGCCTGGCCCCCTCCTGAACGACACAGAGATCAGAGGTCTGCTGTATGCAGATGACTTAGTGTTGCTCTCACCTACTAAAGAAGGTTTGCAGCAGCACCTTAACCTCCTTCAGAGATTCTGTCAGACCTGGGCCCTGGCAGTAAACACAGCAAAGACTAAGATAATGATCTTTCAGAAACAATACAGAAATCAGGTTACACACAATTTCTATTTAGACACCACTAAATTACAACACACAAAAAACTACACTTACCTTGGCCTCAACATTACATACACGGGGAACTTTAACATGGCTGTGTAAGATCTGAGGGACAAAGCAAGGAGAGCTTTCTATGCAATAAAAAGAAACCTGAAATCTGGCTTAAAATTTTTCAATTTGTAATAGAACCAATAATTCTATATGGCAGCAAAATTTGGGGGCCACAACTAAATAATAAATGATTTGAGAAATGGGACAACACAATCATAGAATCATTTCTGTAAGAGTTCTGTAAGAGCATCCTGCAGGTGCAGAGAAAAACACCAAATAACCAGTGCAGAGCAGAGCTCGGCCAATACTCCCTCTTACTAAAAATACAGAAAAGATCAATTCAATTTTACAATCACTTGAAATCAGTTAACCTCCAGACATACCATCACAATCAACTGGCAGATTACCTGAGTACAATAAAATATCCTAAACTAAGAAAAATGTTGACAACATACAGACTGAGTGAACACAGCCTGGCCATAGAAAAGGGTCACCACAGACAAAGCTGGCTACCACAAGAGGAGAGACTCTGCTCCCAGTGTGACAGAGGACAGGTAGAGACAGAGCTGCACTTTCTAACCTCATGCCCAAATATAAAACACAAAGACAAAACACCTTGCAAACATTTCCCAAATATACCCCAAATTCGAATCTATATCAGACACACAGAAACTCCCCTATTTACTGGGGGAAATACCCAAATGTCAAATAATTGCTGCAAAATATATCTCATCATGCAATGAACTGAGGAAGACCAGTGGAAACTTAGACTAATAAATAATTGTACTAATTTTCAAATTGTTATTATTTTGATTGTTTGATATCTTAGTAATTGTTGTGTTTTTAAATCTCACATTTGATACTGATATTTTTAAATGAACTAATTAATTTATTTTATTTTATTTTTGCCTATTAATATACACACTCATAATATACATACAGTTTTATCTATTTATTTAATTTAAATTTTTATATTATTATAATAACACGTTACTGTGTCATTTAGTTTATTTAAATTTTTAATTTTTTAAATTTTATTTATTTATTTAACACACACACGTTACTGTGTCATTTACTTCCATCCATCCATCCATTCATCCATTGTCAACTGCTTATCCTGTGTACAGGGTCGCGGGGGCTGGAGCAAATCCCACACAGAAAGGACGGGGCAACTGTGAACCTGTGACCTTCTTGCTTTGAGGCGACAGTGCTAACCACTTTACTTAGTTTATTTTAATTTTTAAAATGTTTTAATTTAAAATGTTTATTTTTTTAACACAAACACACACACGTTACTGTGTCATTTACTTAGTTTATTTTAATTTTTTTTTACACACACGCTTACTGTTTTATTTATTTATTTTAATTTATTATATTATTTTCATGGGCGGCACGGTGGTGCTGTGGTTAGCACTGTCGCCTCTGTGGTGTCTGAACAATAATGCTGCGATGATGTGTTGAGAAGAAATCCGCTTGACACTGTTCTTGATTTCCAGCTGCTAGAGCGCTATTTTAAACTGTAATGGTCAAATGCACATATGTTATACACCACACCTCACAGCAAGAAGGTGTGAGTGTGAGCGTGAGTGGTTGTTCGTCTATGTGTGGCCCTGCGATGGACTGGTGACCTGTCCAGGGTGTACCCCGCCTTGCGCCCGATGTCAGCTGGGATTGGCTCCAGCCTCCCCGCGACCCTGTACGCAGGATAAGAGGTTGACGATGTATGGATGGATATTATTTTCATTTTCTAACATACTAACACACACGCTTATTGTTTTACTTATTTACTTTTTAAAAATATTTATTTTTACGTTTTACCTTTTTAAGTTTTATATATATATATATATTATATTATTATTTTATTTTGTATTAACATACACAAACACAATTTGTTTTATTTCCTTATCTAATGAAATGTATGAAATTAATTGTCCTTATGTACTTTATATGTAGCTTTGGCAATATTGTTGCTATACATTCATGCCAATAAAGCTAATTTGAATTTTGCTACTGATAATAAACACATTTTTAATAAAATGCCATCAGTTGAAGCGCACTCGCGTCGGAACTTAACAGTGTGACATCCAGCGGAAGTAAACAATACAAGCGACAGCGTTAGCTGCGTTTGAATTCACTGGAAGTCTTTATTGTAGTTGTAGCGCCTCTAATTACTTAATTTGTAATTAAGCAACAATGTCTTCAGTTGAGTGTTTGAGAGAGTTTGTCAACGAGCGACTAACTGCTGCTGCTGAAGAAATATTCGGAGTTTTTAAAAGAACTATCGTCGAGTACGAAGAAGAGATCGATCGTCAGCGCAGACTGCTGGATATCGTTTGGAAACCCGACATAAAGCTACACAGGACAGGTGTGTAAAACTTTATTATTTTAGTATTATAGGAATTTGATACAAAATCACAAGTGTTTAAATATATACTAGTGCTCATTCCCTGGCGTGTCTGCATCCTTTTCTTTCCCATCCCAGTAGTAGCCTGTTCCTTCTGTTCTCTGTCCCTCCAGAGCTCCCACAGCAACATGTCTGGAAGGAGGAGGAGGTTCTGGCTGACCAGCAGCTCTGTATTCAGGAGAGGAACTCCAGTCTGGACCAAGAGGACCCAGAGCCTCCACAGATTAAAGAGGAACAGGAGGAACTCTGTACCAGTCAGGAGGGAGAGCAGCTTGTACTGAAGCAGGAGACTGATACCTTTATGTTGACTCCTACTTATGAGGAAAGAGACCACAGTGAAGCAGAACTGAAAAGTGACCACCAGCTCCTCTCTCACAGCTGTCATGTAACTGAGAGGCAAGATCAGAAAGGAGGCGAGCATGAAGACTCAGGATCAACTAGAGACGCAGAGCCAGAACAAAAGAATCAAGATCACAAAAGCAGAAGCCACAGAAACAATGTAAACAACTCTACCATGTCAGAGGTTCACCATAATCCTCACACAGGTAAAAACTCTTTCAAATGTGACACATGTGGAAAAGATTGTAAATATAACTCACTATTGCAGACACACCTGCGAATTCACACAGGTGAGAAGCCATATTCTTGCAGCAGCTGTGGGAAAAGATTCAGATGCACATCAGATTTGAAGACTCATATTAGAATCCACACGGGTGAGAAACCATTTTCCTGTGAAACATGTGGGAAAGACTTCAGAACTAGTAGTTCCTTAAAAGTGCACATGAGATCCCACACAGGTGAGAAGCCGTATCTTTGCAAGACCTGTGGGAAAAGATTCTGTGACAATTCAGGATTGAAAATGCATATGACAATCCACACAGGCGAGAAGCCGTATACTTGCGAAACATGCGCAACATCTTTTAGACAGAAAGGTAATTTGAAAGTCCACATGAGAAGAGCCCACACAGGTGAGAAGCTGTACCGTTCCAAGGTCTGTCGGAAAAGATTTGTTGATGCCTTTAATTCGGCACATCACAGAAGAACGCATACAGGCAAGTAGCCTGCGACATATGTGGAAGACAATTCAGTTTTAAAGGTTTATGTTCTAAACACAAGAACTCAGAAGTGAGGAGCTGCATAATTGCAGCACTTTTGGGAAAAGCTGAAACTGCTGTGGAGATGATTTCACCTTTGAATTAAATAAATTTAAATGATTATGGTGTGATTTTTGCAACGATTTACTAAACAGAGATGTCTTCATAAGTCTGTAGAATATGATGTGTAGGGCAGGACATCTCTGCTGCAACACAATATATAATTATAAATGTTATTCTGACACGCATGAAGCCTTTAACTAATATTGCACTTCCTGCAATTTGAAAATTGCAGTAGACCAGTCCTATTGTAAATTTTCCTTTAATATGACGGTATTGTTTATATTTCTGTTTGCAAAAGTATTTATTTGAAACAATAATCTCTCAAATGGAGGAAAGAGTTTACGTTCACAGTGAGTGCACAGTAATGGCTGTTCAAGTAATGGTGTGATCTTGATTGTTAGTTTTGACAAATGTCTATTTATGAAGCATCTCAAATTTGTAGTTTAAACTCCATCTACATCAAGTGATATTTAAGTTCTGTACTACTCCTACACATCTTTGCAAGAAGTCAGTTTTTACATTTAAGTTTTCTGACCTGATCAGTTTTATATTACCATATAAGATGCCCTGTTAAATGTGAACATGCCTCTTTGATACTTTTATACTATTTAGGTGGCCTCCTGAAGCGCTCTTGTCTTGGTCTTGGACATTGGGGACTTGGGATTATACTTCAAGACCATAACTTTGGGAATATCAATACATTGCTTTTGCATTGTCTGATTTATTTGTTAACATCATTTCTTTACGTATTCCTTCAAATGCAACCATTAACTCAAATTAAAAATGTGTTGTTACCGTTTCAAACAAACTCTGGTGCGGTTCGCTTGTGGTATGAAAGCGAAACGAACCAACCACTGGATTTTATGATAGCAGAGATGTGATCTGAGCATTATTTTCAAAACCAAACCATTAATAAATCCATCTGCTGACCGCGAAATGTGTTAAGCGATATTATAATTGATCTGTATAGGCTATGTTTATGAAAATCATAACGTATAGCTTACCCAACTTGTCAGTGTGGGTATTTCCCCTGATTCATACGTTAAAATTGGTTTAAAAAGGAGGGCCAGTAGTACTACTCAGTTTACTGTTAGTTCATTATGTCAATAAAACACGTGTGACAGCGATACCACGGTATACTATAGGCTAATAAGCCCCGAATTATTACTGTACACGTCCTGTTTTTACATTATTATTCATAATAGGCTATGCGGTTTGATCTGCGGTCTAACAACTAATCATGCTTTTAACAAATTATTACCTCATGAGCTCTTTGCGATACAGATCAGAAGCATTAAGGGGCTGCACAAACTTCTGTCAGTCACCGGAGTTTGATTTCCCCACGTGGGTCCTGATAATGCAGGATGACAATTGCCAAAGCTTTCCAATCAACAAGCTACCTGTAAGTATGTGTAACGTCATTGTTACTTCTCTTGGTTCGTTTGTAAAACTGCAGTGTGAAGATGAACCGGACCAGAAATAAAATGCAATAGTGTAACATTTTTTTCACTTGGTCTGCACCAAATGAACCAAACTACAGGTGTGAAAGCAACCTCAGTCTTTTTCTTCCTCACTGGTGTGTTTCTGACTGAAAGGGATTTTTCAGTCTATGCTTTTATATACTTTTAATATTTCCACATCAGCTTCTATTATCTTATGAGTTACCTGCCTGTATTTTTCACCTAATTAAGTATGTACGGAACCGCCTGTGTAAGACTTTTCAGAAAATCCTCATTTATGACACCAATGGCCCGTTGAGTGAACTGCAGTCAGCATCCTGTTGCTTGAGAGCGTGCATTGAGAGCATCGGCCAAAACGGTGAACACGACCGAACACAGCCACCTGAGAATGACAGAGACCAGTTTGACAAAAGGAAATACAGCACCGAACTCTTTTACAGTGTCTCTAACCAGGACTCTGACTTAAGGGATGGTGAACACACAGCGGGTTTAGGAAAGGAGTAAAGCGAGAGGGAGGTCTGTCATCAGTCAGTGCCCACCTCCAGAGGTCTAAGTGGGTATAGCGGATGGATTTCAATTTCACTGGTTTCAAGATAGAAGCATCTCCCTTTCACTGACCAACAGAATAAAAGCAACATTTTTTTTGATAAATGACATAAAAGATGAGTTGATTGTCAAAACTGTTGTCAGTTAAACCTGTTCATTTTAAGGAAAAGTATTTAGACTCTATCAACTAGAAACACGGATCCAAAACCACAGAAAAATCATTAAATCAGTATTCACATTAAGTGTATAACTATACCATGTTAAAGATTAAATATGTAAATAAGTCAAAATTGCAGAGACACCAGAGAGAACCCAACACACAGGTCATATTCTTAAACTTGTGTAAAAGGTGCAGTTCAGTAGAAAAAGATGTTTAACCTCAGTTATGCAATAGTTTTGTCTTTGTATTTACAATCACTACAGTATGTTTAGGCAACGGCACTTCTTAGAACAATAAGTCTTCTATGTCTTGGGAATCTTTGTTTTAAAGTGAGTGCACAATAGTGGCTGTTAAACTAACGGAGCAGAGTGAATGACCAACTGTGTGGATAAGAGCATTTGCCAAATGTCATAAATGTTCATTTTCCAAAAGTGTCTTGTGGTTTTTGTCAGTCTAGTGTGCAATCACTTCAAATGACTGACAGGCTGATCTACAACAAACTTGCATCAGTTTTGTAATAGAATACTTAACATTTAAGCAGTATTTCAGTTCTTCACCTCCACAAAACATGACAGTTATAAGTAGTTATTATAGTTGGTTTGCAGCTTAAAGCTAAAAACGTATGGCAAGCTGATATAATAAGATGCATTGTTAACTTAATTTTTAAACAGGTTGCGAAACAGGCAAAACGTAGCTGAATGCTGACCAGCTTTCCACATCAGTTAATATAATATTATATAATTATGTGAAATTAGGGCCATTGTGCCTAATGATAAATTTAACGTTCCTTACTTTGAATATATTTTGCTAATAGTAGCCTTCTTCTGTGCTTTAACTTAACTAACATTTTGAATGAATTCAAATAATCTCAATAGACCTACTTCTTCCACCACTGCTTTCATTTTGTGCAAAAAATCTACAAAATAACAAAGAAAGACGACTGTGCAGTAGTTTAGAAATGAGTACCACATTTCCTTGTGGAATAAAGCGAGGTAAATGTACTGATAACCTTGCTAATGATAATAAACATATAGGCCTGTTTCTAATGAAATGCCATCAGTTGAAAGCGGAACGAAAAGCTCCCGCACTCACACTGTCGGAACTTAACAGTGTGACATCCGGAAGTAAACAAACCAAGTACTTGAGTTAGCCGCGTGAGTTAAATTTGCTGGAAGGCTTTATTGTAGTCTTAGCACCGCTAATTATTTATTTGTACTTAAGCAACAATGTCTTCATTTGAGTGTCTGAGAGAGTTTGTCAGCGAGCGACTAACTGCTGCTGCTGAAGAAATATTGCGAGTTTTGAAAAAAACTATCGTCGAGTACGAAGAAGAGATCGATCGTCAGCGCAGACTGCTGGATATCGTTTGGAAACCCGAAGTAAAGTTACACATGATAGGTGTGTAAAACTTAATTATTTTAGTAATATAGGAATTTGATACAAAAGTGTTTAAATATATACTGGTGCTCCTGTGTGTGTGCATCCTTTTCTTTCCCATCCCAGTAGTAGCCTGTTCCTTCTGTTCTCTGTCCCTCCAGAGCTCCCACAGCAACATGTCTGGAAGGAGGAGGAGGTTCTGGCTGACCAGCAGCTCTGTATTCAGGAGAGGAACTCCAGTCTGGACCAAGAGGACCCAGAGCCTCCACAGATTAAAGAGGAACAGGAGGAACTCTGTACCAGTCAGGAGGGAGAGCAGCTTGTACTGAAGCAGGAGACTGATACCTTTATGTTGACTCCTACTTATGAGGAAAGAGACCACAGTGAAGCAGAACGGAAAAGTGACCACCAGCTCCTCTCTCACAGCTGTCATGTAGCTGAGAGCCAAGATCAGAAAGGAGGCGAGCATGAAGACTCAGGATCAACTAGAGATGCAGAGCCAGAACAAAAGAATCAAGATCACAAAAGCAGAAGCCACAGAAACAATGTAAACAAGTCTACCATGTCAGAGGTTCACAATAATCCTCACACAGGTGAAAACTCTTTCAAATGTGACACATGTGGAAAAGATTGTAAATATAAGTCACTATTGCAGACACACCTGAGAATTCACACAGGTGAGAAGCCATATTCTTGTAAAATATGCGGGAAATCTTTTAGCTACAGTGGTCAGTTGATAGTCCACATAAGAAGAGCCCACACAGGTGAGAAACCGTACCTTTGCAAGACCTGTGGGAAACGATTTACTGACACTTCAGGATTGAAAGCACATGTGACAATCCACACAGGTGAGAAGCCGTATTCTTGTGAAACGTGTGGAAAAGATTTCAGAGCTAGTGGGCACTTGAAGCTCCACATGCGATACCACACTGGTGAGAAGCCGTACCTTTGCATGACCTGTGGGAAATGTTTCTATGAAATGTCAAAACTGAAAATACACATGACATCCCACAGCAGTGAGAAGCCATATACTTGTGAAACATGTGGGAGATCTTTTAGCCACAGTAGTGGCTTGAAAATCCACATGAGAAGAGCCCACACGGGTGAAAAGCCATATGTTTGCGAAACATGTGGGAAATCTTTTATCCAGAGTTGTCACTTAAAAGTACACATGAGAAGAGCCCACACAGGTGAGAAACCATATCTTTGCAAGACCTGCGGGAAAAGATTCAGTGACACTTCAGAATTGAAAACACATTTGACAGTCCACACAGGGGAGAAGCCGTATATTTGTGAAACATGCGGGACATCTTTTAGACTGAAAAGTCACTTGAAAGTCCACATGAGAACCCACACAGGTGAGAAGCCGTACCTTTGCAAGATCTGTGGGAAAAGATTCAGTGACACTTCAGGATTGAAAACACATATGAGAATCCACACAGGTGAGAAGCCGTATACTTGTGAAACATGCGGGACATCTTTTAGCCAAAAAGTTACTTTAAAAGTCCACATGAGAACCCACACTGGTGAGAAGCCGTAGCTTTGCGCTATTTTCTGGACAATATATGCTGATGTGTCTAATTTGACACGGCACAGAAGATGGAATACAGGCATGCAGCATATTTGCTAAATATGTTGGAGATAATTCTGTTCTAGAGGTTTGTGGTCAAAACACAAGAACTCACAGAAGTGAGGAGCTGCATCATTGCAGCATTTGTCGGAAAAGTTTTACTCAAATCGATTACTTGAAAAATTCTTGCAAGTAGGGCCCTCTGAAATACTTTATATCTGTTTTGATATATTTTTTTTCTTTTTACATATTCTGTGTTTTCTGTTTTGATTAATAGCTGGGGCTTTTGTTTGCGAAAATCACTGAATTGACCCTGCCTATATTTGGGACAGGTGTCCATATGGGACAGGCCTTTAATTCCACTTGCACAAAACAATAGCAGCTATGAAACAGTTTATTTCAAACAGAATATTACATGTATAAAAATGATCCAATAATATGAATACACGTCATTCATTTGATCTAGGTCCGACAGACGGCTTATGCGCTTTTATTTTGAAGGCAGCTACATAACAAAAACATCACCACGGTGCAGGATGAGAGGAGTGTGGCAGAAGTTAGCAGACAGCGATGGACTTCACATGACAGTATTCACAACTTGGATTAAGTTTTTATGAGAAGCTGTTTTGATTCTTTTGGTCGGTTGATACTTACAGACTAAAAGAATATAAATAATCAAGAAAGGACACATTCTGACTTAACGAGGCTTCAACGGTAACGGGAGAAGGCACTTCTTTTTTCTTTTCATCTCTTGTACCAGATGTAGGCTATTGTGGAGAATCTAACCGATGTAATGATGTGTTGCATGCCCTTACTGACATATTGATCATACGTTTAAACATTAATATTTGTATTAACGGTCTAAGCAGCTTAGAAGCAGCTAAAGCAGGCGACCCTGCAGGATTTAGGAAGTTTTATACATCCATAGAACTTGTACAAAAACCAGACCAGGCATTTAATGGAGACCTGCGTTTATTTGTCAAAATGTGTTCCCACACCATGCCAGTAAAGGAGGTAGGCGGCTATTTGGGGCTCGGCTAATAATTGAAGTTTTACAGTAATAACATAAGAAAATATTAAAATTGTCATCAGTAGGAATTTGTTATATTAAAACACTGTAACATCAGGCCACCAAGCCATTCTTAAATTCAAAATCCATCCTTATCACTGCTCCATGTAGTATAGTTTATTTCTGTTTACCTTTTTATGATTGTTGTATATTGACTGTTTCTTGTCTGGTATGTAGCAGAAGGGAGTTGCAAACAGAACTTCTTTTTACAACCCTGTTGTAAAATGACAATAAAATAATTTTGAATCCTTGAAAGTACTGTGAAATTATTTAGTTATACTATTTAATAGGGGACAATTCACAGTGAATGTATTGTTGCAATACATGTACTGTAAGTTGTCTTCTATTAAATAGGTGATTACCTACTACTGAGAATCTGTTCTCACAGGACAGCCTCCATATGCTGCTGAGCACACATTGATAAGTGGGTCTGACGTAGGCTACTCTCATGTGGGCAATGCTCTCCTAGTTTACAAAGCTTGACCGGTCGTAGCTTTCTCATTTTTTCCCAACTTAATATCTGACTCCGCCCACACAGCCACTAAGTATTCATCAAGCTTGCATTTTGCGTCCACTGATGTGATTGCACTTGAGAGTTTGTTGATGTGATGAGCTTTTCCGACTCACTTCAATGACTGTGTGTGTTTGTGAGCCAGCGACTGAGTAAGAAGGTGGCGCTGAATGGCATAGATTTTTTCTGTGGAAAAAATACTTCTAGTGCTGGGGAAACTCAGATTTTTAATAAATTGCATCCACATTTTGGCTTTTTGATTCCATGATATTCTGCATTTTACAGTAGATTAACATTTTTATTATCAATTTCTGTGAGTCCATCCCTTTTTTCTGCATTGTCGAAATTGTAGCTGTCATCAGTCAGTTACACAGTGTACATTTATTTCACAGTTTTCAATTTAATATAAGAATAATTTATGTTTAAAATATTTTATTTGGTAAGCTGAATATAATTAAGAACATACACGTGACAACATAAAGTATGTCTAAAGAGATGGGTAAAGTATTTTATAGCGAAACCAGTATTCTTGTGTCACAGTGGGGTCGGGTCATTATTAGTGGCACTCTTAGTATTAGAGGGAGAACACCTGCCTGATCCAACAGAGGATTATGTCTGGAGTTCTGTTGCCGTATAGTGATGTTATTAAGATTTATTAAGTGAAGACTCATAAAGCTTGAAGGTTCTGACGCTAAACAACACAGCGGGTTTAGGTAAGTGAGAGGGAGGCCTGTCATCAGTCCTGAGGTCTGTGTAGGGTATAGCGGATTGATTTCAACTTCATTGGTTTCAAGATAAAAGCATCTCCCTTTCACTGACCAACAGAATAAAAGCCACGCACATTTTTCTTGATAAATTATTTAAAAGATGAGATCCAAAACCATAGAAAAGTCATCACAAAATCAGTATTCACATTAAGTATAAAACTACCATATTAAAGACTCAATATATAAATAAGTCAAAATTGCAGAAAAATCAGAGAGAACACAACACACAGGTCATATTCTTACAAAACATGTAAAAGGTGCAGTTCAGTAGAAAAAGATGTTTAACCTCAAACACCTTCAATAGATTAGTCTTTGTATACAATAAGTCTTCTATGTCTTGGGAATCTTTGTTTTAAAGTGAGTGCACAGTAGTGGCTGTTAAACTAACGGAGCAGTGTGAATGACCAACTGTGTGGATAAGAGCATTTGCCAAACGTCATAAATGTTCATTTTCCAAAAGTGTCTTGTGGTTTTTGTCAGTCTAGTGTGCAATCACTTCAAATGACTGACAGGCTGATCTACATCTGATGGACAGGAAACAAGACTATGAAGCGGTATTTTAATTATTCACCACCACAAAACATGCATATGACAGTGACACGTAGTTATGATAGTTGGTTTGCAGGTTAAATGTGCAGCTGTGGTTGGGGAAGATACATAGAGGAGTCCCTGATGGAGTGCTACAGGACAATCGACTGGGAAATATTTCTAAGGACTGTTATAAGAACATGATCGAGGGGAAGCTACAGCAGAACACCACCAGAGAGCTGTGTGAGGACCATCACAGACATGAACAGGCCAGCTGGAGCAGCAGAGGGGTCAATGGACTGAGCCGATGACTTAAACCAGTTTTTGAACAGGTTTGACTCAACAACGCTGGCCGGACCCCCCCACCACCTCCTCTAGTAGCCTCACCTCGGTCCTCCCACCTGGAGAAGCACACGGCACTGCGAGGATCATGTTCTTCGACTTCTCCAGTGCTTTTGAAACTGTCCACCATCTCCGGCTTGCAGAGAAGCTCTTGGTGATGCAGGTGGATCAGGACCTAGTGGCCTGGATCACTGACTACCTCACTGACACACCGCAGTATGTAAGGCTGCGTGGCTGCCTGTCAGACGTCGGGCCGAACATCACCCCTTAACTGCGATATAATATGCGTATATCACGGCCTGAAGTGAGCTATTGCTTAATTGTATATTGATCGCATAAAAAAAAAACTTATGGCAGGCTTATATAATGAGATGCACTGTTAACATAACTTTTAAACAGGTTGTAAAATAGGTAAAACGTAGCTGAATGTTGACCAGCTTTCCACATGTTATGACATCAGTTAATAAAATATTATATAATTATGTGGCATTAGGGCCATTCTGCATAATGATTAATCAAACATTCCTTACTCTGAATATATTTTGCTAATAGTAGCCTTCTTCTGTGCTTTTACTTACCTAACAATTTGAATGAATCTAAATCATCGCATTGGACCTACTTCTTCCACCACTGATTTTTTGTTTTTTTGTGCAAAATGATTATGTACAAAGTAACAAAGAAAGACGACTGTGCAGTAGTTTAGAAATGAGTATTACATTTCCTTGTGGAATAAAGCGAGGTAAATGTACTGATAACCTTGCTAATGATAATAAACATATAGGCCTGTTTCTAATGAAATGCCATCAGTTGAAAGCGGAACGAAAAGCTCCCGCACTCACACTGTCGGAACTTAACAGTGTGACATCCAGCGGAAGTAAACAAACCAAGCGCCAGATTTAGCCGCGTGAGTTAAATTCACTGGAAGACTTTATTGCAGTCGTAGGGCCGATAATTATTTCCTTTGAAATTAACCAACTTGTCTTCAGTTGAGTGTTTGAGAGAGTTTGTCAACGAGCGACTAACTGCTGAAGAAATATTCCGAGTTAAAAAACTAATCGTCGAGTACGAGGAAGAGATCGATCGTCAGCGCAGACTGCTGGATATCGTTTGGAGACACGAAATGAAGTTACACAGGATAGGTGTGTAAAACTTATATATACTGGTACTCATTTCCTCGCGTGTGTGCATCCTTTTCTTTCCCATCCCAGTAGTAGCCTGTTCCTTCTGTTCTCTGTCCCTCCAGAGCTCCCACAGCAACATGTCTGGAAGGAGGAGGAGGTTCTGGCTGACCAGCAGCTCTGTATTCAGGAGAGGAACTCCAGTCTGGACCAAGAGGACCCAGAGCCTCCACAGATTAAAGAGGAACAGGAGGAACTCTGTACCAGTCAGGAGGGAGAGCAGCTTGTACTGAAGCAGGAGACTGATACCTTTATGTTGACTCCTACTTATGAGGAAAGAGACCACAGTGAAGCAGAACTGAAAAGTGACCACCAGCTCCTCTCTCACAGCTGTCATGTAGCTGAGAGCCAAGATCCGAAAGGAGGCGAGCATGAAGACTCAGGATCAACTAGAGATGCAGAGCCAGAACAAAAGAATGAAGATCACAAAAGCAGAAGCCACAGAAACAATGTAAACAAGTCTACCATGTCAGAGGTTCACCATAATCCTCACACAGGTAAAAACTCCTGTGACACATGTGGAAAAGGTTTTAAGAGGAAGTCAGATTTGCAGAAACACCTGAGAATTCACACAGGTGAGAAGCCGTATTCTTGCAGCAGCTGTGGAAGAAGATTCAGATACACATCAGATTTGAGCGTTCATATAAGAATCCACACAGGTGAGAAACCATTTTCCTGTAAAATATGTGGGAAAGACTTCAGAACTAGCAGTGTCTTGATAGTTCACATGAGAACCCACACAGGTGAGAAGCCGTACCTTTGCAAGACCTGCGGCAAAAGATTCAGTGACATTTCAGCATTGAAAACACATATGACAGTCTACACAGGTGAGAAGCCGTATACTTGCAGCAGCTGTGGAAGAAGATTCAGATACATATCAGATTTGAGCGTTCATATACGAATCCACACGGGTGAGAAACCATTTTCCTGTGAAACGTGTGGGAAATACTTCAGAACTAGCAGTCAGTTGAAAGTCCACATCAGAACCCACACAGGTGAGAAGCCGTACCTTTGCAAGACCTGCAGGAAAAGATTCAGTGACATTTCAGGATTGAAAGCACATATGACAATCCACACAAATGAGAAGCCGTATACTTGTAAAACATGTGGAAAAGATTTCAGAGCTAGTGGGCACTTGAACGTTCACATGCGATATCACACTGGGGAGAAGCCGTACCTTTGTAAGACCTGTGGGAAATGTTTCTGTGAAATGAAAAAGTTGAAAACACACATGACATCCCACAGCAGTGAGAAGCCATATACTTGTGAAACATGTGGGAGATCTTTTAGACAGAGAAGTGGCTTGACAGTCCACATGAGAATAGCCCACACAGGTGAGAAGCCATATGTTTGCAAGACCTGCGGGAAAAGATTCACTCAGATTTCAGGCTTATCAGGTCATATAAGAATCCACACAGGTGAAAAGCCGCATACTTGTAAAACATGTGGGCAGTCTTTTAGCCAGAGTGGTCAGTTGATAGTACACATTAGGAGAGCCCACACAGGTGAAAGGCCGTACCTTTGCAAAATCTGTGGGAAAAGATTCAGTGACACTTCAGGATTGAAAACACATATGAGAACCCACACAGGTGAGAAGCCGTATACTTGTGAAACATGTGGGAAATCTTTTAGCCAGAGTTGTCACTTGAAAGTCCACATGAGAAGAGCCCACATTGGTGAGAAAACGTAGCTTTGCACGATCTTCTGGAAAATATATTCTAATTTGTCCAATTTGACACAGTACAGAAGATCGCACACAGGCATGTAGCATATATGTTGTAGATAATTCAGTTCCAGAGGTTTGTGGTTTAAACACACATAAACCCGCAGAAGTAAGGAGCTGCTTCATTGCAGCATTTGTGGGAAAAGTTTTACTGAAATTGCATACTTAAAAATAACACCCGTGGATCAATATACAGAGGAGAAATCATCCAGCTGAAACTCCTGTGGAGATGTGCATGTACAGCCCTCTGAAATCAGTTTTTTTTGTTGTTTTTGTTTTTTGAGATTCTGTTTAATTTCAAAATTCTGTGATTTATGTTTTCATTTTTCTGAATACTGTCTTTTACTGTTCAAGCACATTTTGTCATCAGAAAAAGTGTTTAATTATGTTGAAGATTAATAAAATACCAACAATTCAAAAAGAAAATATTAAACATTTTATTAATATCACTGAATTTGATATATCATGCAGATATGCATATAGAAATATTGAAATGTACACGCCATTATTAAAATCCTGCTATCACCCCGAAGCCATTCTTAAATTCTTCCTAGTTTACAAAGCTTGACCGGTCGTAGCTTTCTCATTTTTTTTTACCAACTTAATATCTGACTCCGCCCACACAGACACAAAGTATTCATCAAGCTTGCATTTTGCGTCCACTGATGTGGTTGCAGTTTTGAGAGTTGTTGAAGTGATGAGCTTTTTCTAGTGTGCCGACGCACTTCAACATGACTGTGTGAGCCAACGATTGAGTAAGAAGGAGGCGCTGAATGGCAGCAGCATAGGGTTTTTCTGTTCATTTGGCTTAAGTGCTGTGGAAACCCAGATTTTTATAAATTGCCTCCACATTTTGGCAGATCCCACGATATTCTGCGTTTTACAGCGTAGTCTGCAGAAGCCTCCCTCACTAGTTACAATCCTTACTTTGCAAGTTAAGAAAAAAAAACTAACTTATTATGAGCTTTATGATAACATGCATTGTTAAACTATCCAACAGGATGTTAAATGGGTTAAACGGAGCTGAATGTTGACTAGCTGCTACAAATGTTATGACATCAGTGATTAAAATCAAATGTTATAAAATGGTGTGGCACTGACAGGCCATTATGGAAAATGTTGAAGTTAACATTTCTTATTTTAAATATTTTGCTAACAGTAGTTTTACTTAAATAACATTTTGAATGCGCTATGATTTACACTGTGGTATTTCTACTTGAAAAGCCATATTCTTGGAAGATGTGTGAAGGTACGCTGTCATCCAGTTCATAGTTATCCAAGGAAGGTTAATATCAAGGGCAACTAGACTTGGTTGAAGATATCTGAATATTGAGTATCTTCAACCAAGTCCAGTTAGCCTATAATGAGCTTTAAAATAAGATGCATTGCCAAACTATCCAACAGGTGTAAAATAGATGATATGACAACAGTAATTTAAATCAAATATACAGGTGCATCTCAGAAAATTAGAATATCATGAAAAGGTTTCCCATAATTTAAGTAAAAAAATTCAACTTTAATATATTAGATTCATATAAAGTAAAAATACATACATTTTTGTTTTTATCTTGATTTCAGCTTACAGTTCATGTAAATCTTCGACCAGAGAAGAGCATTTAACTCTCAGTCTGGTTCAGTACACACAAAATCATGGGGAAGACTTCTGACTGGGCTGCACGATTTGGAGAAAAGGTCGTATTGCGATTATTATGAACAGTATAGCGATTTGCAATTCGATTATATTGGAACAAATGGTACTATGTCAGCTTGCTTAATTATCAAGGAATGCGCTAAATCTTGACATTTTGAAATGTGTATTTCTCAACTTGAACAAAGTTAAACAATATTTATATTAACTAGTAAAACAGATGTAAAACAGAACAAGGGGAGTGTGTTGCTCTACAGAGGAGGCGGCTAGAAGCGGCACATATTGGCACACTGGCACCGGCTCAATGTACACTATCCAGAACCTGGAGGAGGAACTGTACATGAGTGTATTATATAATTTTGTTTCTTTTCATTTGAATCACAAACAATCTGGCACCTCATTTTTGTATTAAGATATTAATTTTGTTGAAGAAAAGGGACTGAGAATAGAGTTTACTTTTACATATTTGTAATCATCATAATTGTTTTGGAAGATTTGTTAAGTGATCCACTGTTTGGAAAGTGTGTGTCATGTCACGACAAAAAGTTTAGAAACCACAACTAACCATCTGGTTTCTTCAATTTTCAGTCAGGAGCAAAAATCAAACTTTCAACTTTAAAGAAATAATTATTTGATATTTATTGTGATAATTATCAATATCGAATGGTATGAAATTTTTTATCGTGATAGCATTTTTGGCCATATCACCCAGCCCTACAATTTAAAGTGTAACCTGCAGCACAACACGCTCTATGGCTGACTAAAGTAACGTAACTACCCCTCAGCAGCGACCAGCAGAAACACTGAAAACTAGAATGACGATATGGGCATCTGCCCTATTACACATTAATTAATGTTCTAATTTGATCAATTGCCCAGCACTGGTTCTCTGAATGAAATGCACTTTTGCAATAGCTACATCTCCCAACTGAATGTAAAATGTTTTCCACAAAATGAGATGTCAATTTCCTGTAAAGTTTCCCTTCATATGACCGTATTACTTATGTTTCTGTTAGCAACAGTATTTCTTTGAAAAAAATTGTATTCTCTAAAATGGAAGAAAGATTTTAGTTTTACATTGACTGCATATTAATTGCTGTTAATTGAATTGTGTAACATGGGTGGCAAATTTCATGTGGAGAGAAACATTTGCAAAATGTTTTCCAAAAACCAGCATCTTGTGGTTTTTGTCAGTAGTTCTGCTGTGCAATCAGGCTGATCTATACACAGTTTAATGGAAACGACTAAAAACAGAAAACAGCATCAGTTTTGTAATGAAATAATTGTTAACATGTAAGCAGCATTATAGTTCTTAACCACCATTTACCCCAACAAATGTATGAATGTTCTGTTTTAATTTGTTATTTTATTCACCTTTATTTCTGAAACACATACAGTACTGTGTAAAAGTCTTAGGTATGGAAAAATACTGTAAAGTAAGAACTGAAGACTGACTTTACACTGAAGGTTAATTTCTCTGTAGGTTTGTGGTCAGATGAGCTAAACATTTAATTCTCGCTATGAACTCCTCAACAAAGAGTCAGCTGTAAAGTCTACTCCACTTTCACAAGAACAGCCACTGTCAGTATCCACAGCAGATTTGATAAGGATCCTGCTGATTAGAAATAAAACAGCTGTGCCTGATAACATATCACTTTCAAACGAGAATGTTCCCACCTGCTTCAAGACAGCCACCATCGTGCCTGTCCCAAAATAGTCTGCAGTGTCTTGTCTGAACGACTACCACCATGTGGCTCTCACCCCCATTTTGATGAAATGTTTTGAGAAACTGGTTCTCCAGCACATAAAGAACAACAACCCAGTCAGTCTGGACCCTCATCAGTTTGCATTCAGAACAAACAGATCCGCACAGGATAGCATCTCCACTCCCCTCCAGTCAGCCCTCACACACCTTGGGAAAAACAACACCTACATCAGAATGCTGTTTGAAGATGTGACGACTCTGTTGTGAAGTTTGCGGACAACACCACCATCATCGGCTGGATTTCAAACAATGTACATATCGGGAAGGAAACAACAATCTTGCAGAGCGGTGCACGAAGAGCAACCTACTGCTCAACATCAGCAACACCAAAGAGCTGATCATTGATATCAAGGAGGCAAAGACACACCCCTGTCTACATCAGTGGAGCAGGTGAACAGATTTAGGTTCTGGGAATCAGCATCACAGAGAACCGACAGCGAAATTTAAAACTAAAAACACTGAAATATGAAACACTTCCATGGAGAATTACATTTAATAATTCCAATAATTCTGCGACCGGTTGAACATACTGTATACAATAAAGTAGTTAAACACGCAAGGCAGGCTCTCTTCTCACACAACAAGTCTAAAGTCCCTTTCTCAACAACTGCTCATTTAATTAACCCTGTTTTAATAAATTCTAGCAGACCACAAACTCCAAATATGAAGACATTGCGGTCCACTTCAGGAGTAAGATGGACACTAAATGGTCAAATAGTCTCACCGCATCAGTAGATCAGAAGCTGTATTTGTAAAACTTGAGAATTGTGTCTCGTTGATGCTGACTGCTTGGTCAAATTATTACTCAACTGAATCCAGCGACCTGCTTTTTTAGAACCCATTCCCACATCTCTTTTTAAGACATTTTACTTACTGACCATTGTGAATTATTCTCTTCAGATGGGTGTCTTCCCTACTGCTTTTAAAACTGCCATGGTGAAACCCCTTATGAAGAGAAATGATTTAAATGCTGTAGTAATAACTACAGACCGGTATCCAATCTGTTATCTGTTTTAAGTAAATATTAGAGAAGCTTATTTTTAATCAGTTACAACTTCCAGTTGCATGTCACTGGAGCAACTAGCGGTTAAATTACTTGCTAAACGATTGTGTGTGTGTGTGTGTGTGTGTGTGTGTGTGTGTGTGTGTGTGTGTGTGTGTGTGTGTGTGTGTGTGGTTTGAAGCACTTCGTGTTGCCTGGTTTTGTATGAAAAGTGCATATAAATAAAGACTGATTGAAAGCTCAGAAACAAAGGCAAAATTCCTGTGCCAAGTTCTTGTTAACTTTTGCAGAGAAGCAATAGAAAGCGTAATCTCCCAAACATGAGGGGAAAGTTATTTCACAGTAGTGGCTGTTAAAATAATGTTGTGATCTTGATTCTTGTTGGTTTTGACAAATGTCTACTTATGAAGCATTTATTAATTATTTAAAGTTTAAAAGACCACATTATTTATAATTCAGAAGAGTTTTTATCCATTTGCACCCCTGTTTAGAAAATATATTATATATTGTACTGATAAGGTAAATGTCTTTCAAAAATATTACTGTTTGAAACATGTTTAATTACAGGAATTCCTGTTACGAAACATATTTCTATTTACCTTATTGTTGTACATCAAACATCAATTGTCTATCACATCTATAGGTCCACAGTTAAAGTTAAATAAATTTCTTATTTCATCTTGAACCCTATAGTACGATGCTTTTAACAAAGAGTAATGTAGTATGCGGGTGCGAATGCAATATAACAGAGTAAGTGCAAACTACGTTATGAACACTGGCCTGGTTGTAACAAACTGCTATTGCAAATTTTTTTCTTTTTTGTTTTGTTGTTTTATATGTTTGTGTTCTTGTTCTGTGGTTTTCATTATATTTCTTCTTAATTGAAGGTCTTTGTATGGTATAAATTTGTTTCTGTTGAAAATACTAAGGAAAGGCACTTCAGTGCTTCTATTCAGGTGACCTATCTCCTTTAGCGATTACCTTTACAAATGGAAAGGAGATAACGCAGT